CCCCCCAAAAAAAAAAAACCAAACCAAAAGACCCCCCTGGAAAAATAAGTGTCTTTTTTTCTAAAAGAGGGTAGCTAGAACTTGAAATGGTTACTTTAGTTTTGTTTATAAAAATGATTGATACTTCATTTGGCTGACTACAGTTGAAATCATAGTAATGAATATGTTAGTATCTTTCAGCTTAGGGTTCATTAAACTTTAAAAAATGGGCTTTATATTTTTAAGTGATCTGTATATTGTCCAGTAAAGGACAGGATCAGATGTGTCAATCTGGTTAAAAGGATATATGATATTATGTCCTTGTCCTTGTTATAACATAACACCATCTTCCAGTATCTTATTGAAACCAAAGCTAAAGAATTTTTCTTAATGGAAGTACTACAGAGTTCTGATGATGTTTGTGTTGTTTTCCTTGTGATTCACTATAGTCTCACTGATTGATTTAAAGCAACAAAAGTTATCACAAAGGTGTCCTTACAACATTGAACAGACACTTACCTTGGGTTTTGTTTCCTTCCTTTTGAATAGATGTTTATTCAGATTCTCAAAATATACCTCACTGACTTTTGTCATAAAAAGAAACTTACGGATGATTTGTTCAAGAAGATCCTTTTAATTCAAGAAAATGTAAGTGGTTTTGTTGCTTAATATTTCAGACCACCAAAAATAACAGTTAATCTGACTAGTTGGTGCAAGCTGCCACAGCAAGCCGCGTCACCTACTCTTTTTAAACAGCAGTTACCTGTAATCTATTTCAGAAGAAATGCAAGAAATACTTTGTTAGTTGATTCTCTCCATTATGTTGTCCATGTTTCCCCTTTGTTGTTGTATGAGGTCATCAGGACAGTGATGTGTCTAATCCGGTAAGAAAAAAACTGTTTTGTAGTTGAATCCATTCAAGCAAACACAACGTTGTGAACCTTATTCACTCAGATGTTAAAATTTCTAATTTTCAGGTCTTTGTCTGGTTCCATGTATCATTACTGATAATAAAATAGCAGGAAATAAAGTACCAGAAGGAAACTCAAGGCTTTTTTTATCAATGAAAAATGTACTTATTTTCCTCTTTATCACTTTTTCTTCCATGTACTTGTATCAAAATCCATTTTCCACTTCTGAATTAGATGACATTATGCATTTCAGGTGGAGTCACAATAATATTTTTAAGATTATTAGAAGGGAAAAAAGCTTTACAAAACTGAACGAAATAGGAGAGCTACTGGTTCCACTTTCTATTTTCCAGATTAGAGTAATTGAAAAGTCTAGATTGAGAGCCACCTCTAAAGATCATCTGTTCCAACCTTCTGTAGGAAGTAGGAAATAATACAAGGATATCCAGTGCCCTGCCAAGCCAACTCTTGAATAGCTATGTTGAAAGAGAATCCTCCGTATCTCAGGGCAGCCCAGTCCAATATTTAATTCTTCTCACAGTAATGATTTCTTTTTTTTCTTACGTAGAGATGCAATTTCACATTTAGGCATTAAAGTCTGTTGGCTTGCTAGTTCTAGTGACTGAGATTTATTTTGTTTGTTCAGTCTCACAATCTATGAATGAATATCAGGAGTCTCGGTAGTTGTACCTAATAATTTATTTCAGAATGGATTTTGCCTTAAAACCACTTCTCTGCCTTAAATCCTCAGGATTAGTATTAAAGTTGATTGTATTTACTAAATGAAAAGTTAGATTTGGTGTGTGAATCCCTTTTTCAGATGCATTTCTGGTAATGACTACAAATTACAAACACAGAGGTAATAGACATTAGGCATGTTTCCCAGTGTAGCCTCACCCTCATTGAGGCTTGATGGCATCAATGTCTTCATGCATCTGAGCTGATGCAAGACAAAGACTAAATCTTGTTTAATGGGTGCAGTAACTGCTGGAGTAGGCCAGTTGTTTAAGTGTCAATATGGGATTCCTATGTCCTGTATTCTCGAGAGAAAGGTCTTGGAAACATGACAGCCTTAGGGATGGGATATCACATGAGAGATGAGGCTGATTATGGATACCATGTAAAAGAGATGTTCTAATAAGCGAAAGCATTAACATTGGAAACTAGTGGTCAGCAGGTTGAGGGGGATGATTCTGCCCCTCTACTCCACTCTGGTGAGACCCCGCCTGGAGAGCTGCATCCAGCTCTGGAGTCCTTGGCACAAGAAAGACGTCACCTGTTGGAGCGGGTCCAGAGGAGGGCCACAAAAATGATCAGAAGGCTATAGCACATCTCCTATGAGGACAGGCTGAGAGAGTTGGGGCTGTTCAGCCTGGAGAAGAGAAGGCTCTTTAGAGACCTTACAACTGCCTTTCAATACTTAAAGGAGACCTATAGGAAAGATGGGGACAAACTTTTTAGCAGGGCCTGTAGCAAAATGTTTTTAAACTAAAAGAGGGTAAATTCAGACTAGATATAAGGAAGAAATTTTTTACAACAAGGGTGGTGAAACACTGGAACAGGTTGTCCAGAGAGGTGGTAGATGCCACATGCCTGGAAACATTCAAGGTCAGGCTGGACGGGGCTCTGAGCAACCTGATCTAGTTGAAGATGTCCCTGCTCACTGCAAGGCGGTTGAACTAGATGACCTTTATGTCATCTGCTTTGGGAAGACTGAGGATTATATGATTTATCACAGACAGCATTTTCCTCTTTTAATTCTGCACTATAAGGAAAACTCATGGGATTTTGATTAAATTGTTGTGAAGCTTGTCAAAATCTTGTTACATTTCTTGAAGACAGGGTATCAAGTTAATGCACTGACATCCAAAATTGTGGGATATTAAAAGTAAATGTTTGTTACATAAGGCATGTTTCAGCAACTGAAGCATCATCCATTTCAGTACCAAGCTGCTTAAGTAAGACTAGTATTTGTCAGTATTAGATTTCAGAAGAAAATCATCCTGGTTCCAAAGGATTGAAAAACTTTAAAAAGCTGTAAAATCATGTAGCCTGTACTTTTTCCCTTATGAGCATTAGAGGTGCGTTCATCTGTGTGTGCCAGCACCCTGCAGGAGACACTGTCTGATTATCGTATCTGGATACTTCTCTGTGCTTTCAAACACAACATACACACTCATAGCTGCCATTTAAGATGGGGGCATGTGCATTAGAATAAAAAATATTTGTGGATAAATTCAAAGGAATATTAGCATGAAAGCTTATGGAGATGGACAATAGTCTTGATTGTACTCATGTAGTAGTGGAAATGTATGTGTATTGAGTGTGGTTCAGAGCTGCCATATATATACCTTCAGTTTTCTTTGCTTGCTGCAGGAGTTGCCTTACCCAGAGACAGAATTTCCGAACACTCTTGTTCAGCTTCTTTAGCCATGAGCCACAACTGACATACAAATTCACTCCTGAATTTAGAAATTATGTTATTTTTTCTGTTTGACAAAGCACTTACTTTTTTTTCCAGGATTTTGAAGAACTGCAGAAACAACTTGACTCTAGACTCCAGAATATTGAGATGTCAGGAGCCCATAACTCAGAGTACCAGACTCTAGAAGACTTAGAAAGGAAAGAGAGAGAATATTCTGAGCACATAACAGATAATGTAACTTTCTAATTTTAATGTTGTTATATTTTTTTTAAACTGTTGTGTTGACTAATTCACAGTTAGTACTTTAGATATGCCTGAGTCCTGAAAAGATTTTTACATTGCTCCAGTAAAGTATTTCCAGCTCCCTTTGGGGACCAGTGTGTTTTTTATACAGATGCTCTTTTATCAAATTGGTTTTAAAGCTGAGCAATGTCTATTGCTTGTCAGATGGTAAGATATATTTCAAGCCTAGGTATAGTCTGACTTTTAGGGATATTATCCTAGCACCTTGTTTTCTTCAATCCTCCATAACTGAGTGAGTAATAAGAGACTATAAAACATTTTAAAGCTGAAATAATTACTAAGAAAATAAATTGTCTTTTAGCATGTTTTGCACATTTATTTTAGCAAAACATTTTGCCTTAGCAGCTCTGCACATTATAATACATTTACATGGCTTTTTAATGTAAAAACTAGAGTTTGATAGCAGGCATTTGATTCTTAAAGTGCAGTTTGGGGGGGGGGTGAGGGGGGACACACGTGGTTCTGTACAGTACTGTCACTGTGTCCAAATAGCTTGCAGGCTAGAAAACTGGAGGTTAAGAATATCCTGCATATTATTTTCCAGTAAACTGAGTAATCTGGAAGATCTTTTTCTTCTGAGTCATTTTTTTGGGGTTTGAGCAAATTCAACACTGATGAAAATGAGAGACTGACGAGTCAGCTCTGTGAGCTGCCTGTGCTGATTGATTGTGGCTCTTCGGCTCCGAACTGAACAGCCCATCATCTCAGCCTTGGGCCTTTTTCACAGAGGAGTTAACATTTTTTTGATGTCTGATGGTTAAGGGCTTCACTAGGAATTTTCTCAGCTTTTTTTGTGATTCTCTGTGCCTTTCACTTTATAGTGGAAGTCCTGGTAATGATGGTACATCTGTGTCAAGTTTCTTTTGCAATTTAACTTTGCTCTTTGAAAAGTTGATTCTTTAGAGTTCTCCAGAGTTAGTCACATAAAAACCCCCAGTAGCCTCACTGAACAACATGAGGCAGTTTTTCACCAGTGGCAGTCATCCGTCAGTGGGTCTGTCACTCTTATGCCAACAGATGCTTTTCATCCATATTGAAAATGATTTCGGTGTATGCAAATTCTTATAGGCCCTTGACCTAACCCATTCTTCTCTCAGTAATATAAAGGGGTTTTTTTCATACTCACAGGTGCCATAGTTACAGTTTTTTGCAAAACTCACAGATACTTAACACAAATCTTGGCAATAGATACATTTTATCTTTATGTATACTAGTAATCCCATTGAAGACCACAGAATATTCACAGTTGTGCACAGTCATGAGTATTTGTGGGATCAGAGCCTAAAACCAGAGATTACTGGTATGATAATATATCAGAATGGGCACATACACTGTGCTAATACTGCCTAAAGTACTTAATTACAACGTTGCTAATAAAGTGCTTATATAGCATGTGGCTATGAAAGCCTTGATGGTGAAAAACAGTAACAATTTTCAGTTTTCCTTTTGTAGCAAAAATCTTGTTTGACTGGAATGCCTGTTCCTACAGCTAAATAAACTTCCCAGAAAAAAGGGCTGCAGTTTATCTTTTTTAGTTTTCCCATTAGTATTAACAATATAATAGGCTTTTATAGGTGTGATATGTGGAGAACTAATGACAAATGCTTAACAAGTTATACGGAATGACCACGTTTAAAAAGATCAGGATTGACCTACTGGTTATGTGCCACCAACACGTGTATCATCATATAGTAAATAGGCTCTTTAGCTTTGCAAAATACTCACTATAACTAATACTGAAAGCTGTCAGTGATTTGTATCTCAGTAGATTCATATGCTGTAATGAAATACTAGGTGATTAATGAGGGAACATGGATTGGTTTTTGATTCATATTCCACAGATGGAAGCTTTCTGGAAGCAGACTGACAAAGCCCAGCAGGCTTTTTTGGACCAATCAAAATGCTCAGGTGCCAAAGCAACAAAGATAATGATGGATCTGACTGAGAAGATGATTGCAGTAGAAAGCTTATTAAGTGAATTTCAAGATTTGCAGGCAATGGTAAGTACAAAAAGAAATAAAAGTTGAGAGAGATGTAGTCAGTTGGAACACAAAGAATGATGCAAGTGTACAGAGTCTGTCAGTCCTGCCTCAGGAATGATGTAGACTGCTTACTCCAGTTGTCTCTTTTGGCTTTGTTGCAAAGAGCTCAACTTCCATAGCAGTTTATGAAGACTCACAGGAGGGTGAACTCTCTGCACTTGAGTTCAAATTCTCAAAATACTGTTGAGGCAATCATGTTAGGAAAAAGTTATATTAATGCAGCCAGTGAGCCAGGAGCAAGAGCACAAGATCTAATGGTGAAGGAGAATCATTACCCTGGGTATTAAGACATTTTCTGTCAAAGTATTTATTCCACTTCAGCTGAGAAATCCTAATTTAAATTTGAGGGTGATTCTGTGTGTCCAGTGACTTAAACTGGAATTGAAAACCCTTAACATGTCTTAGTGATATGATCTTTAGAAGTACGAATGTGTATATAAATGCATCAGCACTGTGCTTTTGTTGTGTCATATCTATCAGATTCTTTATTTGCTTTGCACAGGACATACTGAAAAAGTTACTTGGAATTTATAGATTAACAGTACAATCAGAATCTGGCCCACTGCGTTTATTGTTAATTTGGAAAATAAATGGATAGGTAGCTTTATTTGGCTTACTAATAAACAGATATAATAATTATTAGCTTGTTAGTTTTGCATTGGAGCAGCTAAGTAAACTGAGCTGGCCAGGTGTGAAAATAGTCTTTGCAGCTTATCACATTTGACCCATACTGGTCTACTGTACAGGAAGTTCCTTCAGAAGGACAGGCTTCAAATAAGATGTTTGAATACAGACACATTCCTGTCCAAAGTCACTACTATGATGCTTGCATCTTGTTGCAAAGGTCATTGTATGTGTGTCTCTATTAACTACAGTAGTTCTCATACTCTTTCCACCTTGCAACATTGTCTAAATCAGTTGCAGTTTCACTCAGGAAATCTTGCTTCCCCTACTGTAATCCTGAGCTGCTTCTCTAATAGTGCAATCAAAGCTACTAGGCCATAGGCAGTTACACTAATTTTTAGTGTATTTACTGAACTCCAACTGACCACATACTTGAATCCCAGCAGTTTCAAAGTCAAATATGTGTCCTCATTTCAAAATGAAGGCCCAAACTGATGTTCCATATAGTATCTTGAAAAGAGGTCAGGAGTTTCATATTGCCCTTCTCTCCATCTTTCCCCCTTGAGTATTTAAGTTTGTTCTGCAAAATTCTTGTTGTCTTTTCCTACCTTAATGTCCTCTCGGCATCTACAAATACTGAAAAACACTCTTTAGTTTTAGATTAGCTCTTACAACTGAGCATGCGATAAACCCACTGCTATCCTACACTGGTCAAGATTTTCAGAAGTATTTAAGTATACAAAGGTTGTTATTCACATGGTCTTGAGAAACCTGCTGGGTTTTGTGTGTGGTTTGGGAATGAATAATTCAATGAAAGGACAACCACAACTGAAGAACCATTCTTGGTTTCTAAACAGGACTTTTTTAATGTTTGTTTTAGGACATTCAGGAAAGGTTATTCAATTGGGAGCTTATGGTAAAAATGATTGATTCACTGAAGTCCTATATACCAGAAGAGTGCAAGTGTAGATTAAATATTGTATCAAATATTCTGGACCATTTAACTGTCAAGAATAATCTCTCAGTCCGACAAAAAGAAGAACTTTTAACAGATCTGCACAAGGCCTTCTGGGAACAGCTGGCATATCTCAGTAGTGGTGAGTATTTAGACCGGGGCTTATGACTTAACAAATACAAGTATGAGTTCTCATTATTGTATTAAGTAGTAAAAAAAATATGGCTTTGGCCCTATACCCCTCTGTTTTAAAAAAGTATTGATGAATTGTCCAAGAACACTATTGTGAACAGTGGATGCTTAGAATGGGAACTTTGGCTTTAAGCCTTCTAGGTCTTGTTCTGGGCATTACTAAGAACTTACTCTACAGTTCACATAATCAATACCTTATTTCATTAATTTGAAGATTGAAGAAGAGTCACATTTATTACAAGTATTTGTGAGATTTCTCCATTTACTGTCATGTACTTGACATTGTTGGCGATAACTGGCTAATGTTAGGGACAGTAATAGCTGTATATGTGCAAAAACCTGTCTTATGATCTCCTGCTAGCATGTGGAGCCAGGAGAAGATAGATAAAACATAGTTGTGCTTGTGAAAAGATAACTTTAAGGCTTCTGATCTTCAGATAATCCTCTCTTAATTATTATGTCAGACTAAAATACTTTAAAAACTAAGTCTTTTCCTCTTACAGCCCTGTAAAGTACACAATTATAACGAAGTCTAAGCTGACTGATCCACTGATTTACCTCTGTCAAGGCCTTGATTTTATGCAAAGGAGGTATTTATAGTTACATATAGCTATATATTGTAGTTAGTACAGCCTGTGCAGAAGGGCATTATCAGCCTCCTGGTTTTAAATGTGCTTAAAAAAAAAAAAAAAGGCAAGGAATCTGGAGTGCAGCATTTTCACATGAGAGTCTACGTTGACCTTGCTTATGAGCTCCTAAATACACAAGTTAAACTGTACCTATAATTCACTAGTAGGACACAAAGCCAGCACTACTGTGCTCCTAGGAAACAAACAAGGAAGCAGTAAAGAATCAGGTAGTGTTTAAAAATAACAGCTGGTACATTTGTTTAGCTGACATTTTTGTTACAAGTTTTCCTGTACTTTCAGGGCACTTTCAAGTGTTTTATCAGTGCACCATCAGCCTATGGATAAACCTAATAAATTAGCATGGAGAATAAGTAACATATTCGGTGCTACAGTACTGTGTTCCTTTATTTATCCAAAAATAATTTCTCATAGTTGAAGCTGCTTGATGTGATGGCAGGGCAGCCACCACAGATTACTATTTTTTTGCATTCCCTTTTAGCTGCCCGTGTCTGGGTTCACGTGCTGGTCTGGGACGGGGTGGGTGGAAGAAAAGAATAAAGTTCTTAGGCGGACGGGCAATGAGACAAGAATGGCAGAACATTGTAAACACTAATTCCACCCTGCAGCACAGGGTCCAGATTGACTAATGAATTTATAAATCACTTGGAGCTATAGGGAGTAAGAAGGGAGGAGGAACTCAGTCCCAAATATTTCACATCAGTGGGACCTTGACAACTTTTGCTGAGGTTCCTGGATGAGTCACTTTGGAAGCCTGGTATGGCTGCATGCCAGTTGAAGCTAATCTGAACTAGCCCTGCTCTAGACCTTTTCTCCCTGCCATACATTACTGCCCCTGTCCTTGCAGCAGCATTTGCATGTCTGCAATTTGGTAATGAGACACTTCTAGACCTTCCCAAAGCTGGAGAGGAAGGTTTGGGGTGCTGCAAGTGGGAATCTGTTTCTTGAACTAACTCACTGCCTTTGCATAAGCGGCACCAGCAGTGAAAAGGCAAGTGTAGGATGGTAGTGATCCAAAACCCTGATGGATTTAAGTGCCCTGTAACAACTCCAAAGTTCACATCTAAAAAGACCATCAGGATAAGAATCAAATTTGTAATCCTGCACAGCAATTACTTACCTATTTCACTTGCTAACAGATTTCTGTGAGCTTATGTTGTGTGACAGTAGCAGATGCTACTTTCTCCCTGTAGAGCTGTGATATCTAATCATCGGTGGTTTACGTTCCAGAATGTATCCAGCAAAGTAAAGATATGATCTTGAAACGACTGGAGTGCCGTGCAAAGAAGAGAGAAGAGTTCAAACACAGACAGAAAGCTGAACAAGGGAGTCTCCTCAATAAAATTTTTCTTATTGAAGATGTTAATGATTTTCTTAAGGTGAGCACATAAAAGCTTATTTTCACTGTTCCATTAGTTTTCAAGTCCAAATATATCACAGATTTTTCCCAGTTCCATACAATTGGGATTTTTGGGTTGTCCTGGGAATTGTGTGCAGTACCACAGGTAAGGTAAGGTCAGACCCCCTATTGCCTAAGCTTGCCTAGAGACTTTTCCTCCAGTGTTGGTCTTGTCACATTGGAACAAAATGCCAAAGGGTGTTAATGCTCAATTGCATGTTTTGTAAAAAACATCTTTTACTTAGATACTATGTGTTATGTTCAATATAGGAAATCTCTGGAGGAAAGTATCTGGCCTGCATTAGAGAAGAAAGCAGACTGCACTGATCTAATTGCTTTTCTGCAAGTGAGGTTACCAAGACTCAAAAGACATCAAATTTCACATAAGCAGAGGGAAAATTCATTACAATCGCTGGCAGGATACCTTAGAGAAGGTTTGAAATAGATAGTTTAATATGGTATACAATGGCCTGTGTAATGTTTTCTGGCCGTATTTTCTATAGGGCTTTGTTGTTACTGTTCAAAATGTATATATGAAATCAGAACTCTTAGCTGTAAATGCTGAGGGCTGCAAAACACCTGTAGCTGCTGAGAACTGCAGACCCAAATTATTAAAAATAATAATAATAAAAAATTAATCCTCAATTTTCATGCAAATAAATAATTTAAGGTTAAAGTGGTTACATCCAGCAACAATAAACTTTTGATTAAATCTAATAACTTAGATAAATTACTGTATAAGACCCAGATTCCAGCTTTAACAAACTATCAGCATTTATTGATCTCAGCACTGCAATTTTGTGCTGCTGGGCCAAGTTCTTTAATTACATTGTATGAATTGGATAATGCAGTTACTGTTCTTATATGCAACAGCTGTCTGGCAACGCCTCACTTCAAAACAAAAGGTTTCAGGCACTTTAAAACAGTAGAGCACATTTTATTTCTTCAGCTTTTGAGAACTTCGGACAAATAATTCCATCACATTTTTGTAGCCATTGAGCACTTATGAACCTATTTTCCTTATACACATCATTCAGAACTCTTGGATACATCCCAACTTCATTAAACAAAGCTTAGAAATTTTTTATTAGGACCTCTCCCCTACAAAGTTAGAGACACACAGCTTTGTGTAAGAGGTGCTCTACTCTGCACCTTAGAAAGCTAAGAAATACACTTAAACTGTATACTAATGATCTGCTGATGACAGGCTGAGCAGGAATGGACAACTTGCACTTCACGCTTCAGGACAGAACACAACTGAGTCTTAATATTACAAAATGCCTGTGTGCAAATAAGAAGTCAGAAATTTAAGGCTTCCACAGTGGAGAGAGCCTTTTGTCCCAGAACAGATGAAGTCTTGAGTCCAGAGACTTTTTGAAGAATAAGAAATATATACGTATCTGCAACTCCTATGATTTGACTTAAACCGTTCAGTAATTGTTTTGTGCAAACAATTCCCTCAGCATTGAGGAGCTATTTTAAACCTGTTTTGTGGTTTCACAGCTAGCCCAATAGTGAAAAGCTTGATCCTGAATCCTCACCATGAGCCCAGAGTTGTACCCATCAAATGCACTTTTGTTCTCTGCCTTCCCCCCTCTAGCTCATCAAAGGGCTTGCACCACCATGGTAGCAGCCTCATCAGTAACTGACCTTTTTGCTGAATTTTAAATGGTTGCCAATTAAGAAGGTGGTTTTGTAATGAACTTCCATCACATCGGTTTCTTCTGAACACAAGTTGGATGATAATGAATTAGTTGCTGCAGCTCTGATTTTTTTATATGGCAGAATGACCTAGATGATAGTAAGGGTTAGAGTCCCTATATCATTCTGTCTCTTTCATCTGTGTTTCCACTGGAAAAGAAGCATTTTTATTTTGTTTTTTACTGGCAGAGAATACAGGAATGATCAAATGAAGTACACAAGCCAAAAAGTGCCAGTTATGGTAACCTAATCTTGCTCAAACCTACCACTGGTGGACATAAAAGTTACAGCAATTAACTTGTCAAATTCTGTGGTAAACTGTAATGATTTCATGATAAGTCTGAATTTTCAAGTTCACCTCTACAAGAATGACCTGTATGTGAAGAGTTTATGAGCACTTTTATGCTTTTCAGAAGAGCCCTATTGACATACTTAACGAAGAAAGCCATGTTTGCCAAGAGGTCACTTGTCAATTTAAATCAAAATATTGAATATTTATGTATAAGACCATTCATTAGTCTTTAGAATAAGTTGTTCTTTGTGAAATTCAGTCTTCCATTGCAACACGAGCCTGCCAACACATCACAGTCCTGGCTTGATGAAAAAAATTCCATCCATCTTAAATCTGTGACCAAGGACCAAACCAGGACCAAGTCATAGATCAGCTTTTAGGCTGAGTGCCATCTGACAGTACAAGGGGACATGCTGACTAGGCCCAGTGCAAAAGCCCTGTACAGTGTGATAACTGTGTAACTAAAGCATCTGATGGCTGTTCTGCACCTCATAGTACTGGCTGTGATGAAGTGATTTTCATACACAGGAAAGCAGGTTGCAAATCAGATAATTTCACATGTTTTCCAGTTTTAGGTACATATTGTTTAACCCCAAATTGCTGAGGCTGTGGAGTTTCATACTCAAAATGGGTGGTAAGGCAAGTTTCATTTCCCTCTGAGTTACAGTTCCAGGTAAACACTATTGTGATGGTACATGGGAAGGGGATCAGGGAAGGGAAAGAAAGGATCACAAGAAGCTGCCAAAACCTTTTCAGATATTTAAATAATACCTATCGTGTTTCTTTTAGGCTTACCATGAGTTGTTAGAGAAGCATCGGCAAGAACAGTGGGCACTGGAGGAGGAGGATGACTGCGAGAGCACAGAGGCTGTTGCAGATCTCTACCAGGTGCCACCTCTAGTTATATGTGTCATTTACTAAAATAACTCTGAAGTTCATCTAAAACCAGTACACAGTGTCAGGCCTTGAGGAGGATTGGGGAATTGCAGAAGATATGGCAGCTCCAGGAAGATAGGCTGGCAAACTAGGAGTTGGAGACAGGACAGTCTTCCACATTAGCTTGCCTTTTCCATTATCTTTCCAACACACTATGTTTCCTAACTTCACATTAGTAAGAAAATGCCTGTGTGGTCTGCCAAAACATGCTGCCTGGGTAGCTGACAAGGCTGCAATAATGTTGAGAGCATACAACGTCTGGCATTACTACCAGGAGAGCGACTTCATTTATGTAGCATAATTATCTCCTCTGCACCATGCTGGGATGATGCTATTCTTAGTTAACTTCACTACATCTCCAAAAAGAATTTTCTCATCTCTCTTCCTCTCAGAGAAATTGTTTTGACGCTAGTTAGTTCCCTGAAATAAGTTCATATCTTTGGTGTAAGTTATATTTTTACACTTCTTTATGTTACTGATTTGGAAAATATGTAGGTGCTTCATGCTTTTACGTCATCTTTAATTATTTTTTTGTCTGCAGCAAAAAAAATAAGATAACATGATCTATCTGATGAAGTCCAAAACTGTAGCCAGCAGTGACCTTTAATTAGGCTGGAACTAATAACTTTCAGCTCAACAGGATCCTTGTCATGATTAATTATGACCAGATCAGGGTGTTATGGAAACTTGTAGTCCCTATCACATTAGGATAAGATACCCACACAGTATTAATCAGCACTAGTCCACATGCACTTTTTCAAATTCAGTTGATAATAAAAATAAAGCCACTGGTATTTAGACCAAATAGTTTTGCCATGGTTTTATGCAGTAGTGCAAGCAATAGGATATTTGAGAACTACTTCTCTTTGGAGAAAGGAAAAGTTTGCTTGGAGAGCTATGCCAGTGAATCAGAGTAGATTAATTGTACAAAGCTATTTAATTTAAGAAATGTCAACATGTCTACTGATATTACTGCTCACAGTCCATTCTCCAGAGTTACTAAATTCTCCACCCCCTTCCTCAATTCACATGAAGTCTCTGGAGACCAAACAATTTTTTTTTGCCCTGCACAGTTCCACCTCATTTGTGAAATTATATTGCTTTTCTTTATTGTGTACTCTGCTTTAGTGACACTAAGATCAGACTGAAAATCCTATTTCTTTCAGCACTGTTAGCTAAGTTTTCTTTTCCATTAAAGAAAAAATTGGTTTGGGTGAATTAAGTGTTTCTAGAATTGCCAAGTTGCCAGGAGAGCTGCACAAACTTGAACTCTGTCAATTCGCCCAGCTCTAAGTCATTATATTCCATATTACAGCTGCTCTATTATTCCTAAACCCAAACAAAACACTGCCAGACATTAAAAACTGTAAGTACTGTGATCCAACTGGCATCTGTTGAACTAGGGTCCACAAATCTTAAGAGAAAATACAAATGAGCATAGCCTCACTGTAGGTAAATGGAGCTGTTCTGACTTCTACAGCTGAGGGAAGTGCAGTAGTTACACATTTTGTCTGTTACCTGGGGTATAAAAACAAAAATTGATTTGCCATTAGGGAAAGGAGTTGCATCTCATAACTACAAGGCTTTTGCTTCTCTGTTTGTTCCACCACACTTTCAGAGCAGAAGTGCAGCTTGGACAAGCAGAAGCCTTTCCCTAGGCAGCAGGGCTTTGCTCCTTCACTTATTTTCTCAAGGTTTCCGCTAGGGAGAAGCTACTGCTACCAATGGGGAAAGCAAGATACCCTTGGGAGGGTGACAGGGATTTGAGATACTCCACAATGCAGTGGGTGTGACTGCAGCTCAGGTAGACCTAAGCAAGCAAATGTTAGACTAACCAGCTGGGTACCAGCAACCCTCTCATGGCAATAGTCAACACTGTGCTACAAGACCTGTGTTGCAGTTGGCTTTGAACCAACTAGTTTGTAGAACCAGCTAGTTTGAGCACATGTGCAAACACTACAAAGCTCCATGTTGTTATTCCAGAAGGTCCGTAGTCCCTGAAGCTTAACTGATAGTCATTTGCTTTGCCCTCATTTGGAAGGTTTTGACTCTGCTGTTTCTATTCTACCATGAGCAAGGAAAAGGATAAATTAAAGATTTGGTTAAACTTTCTATTGTTCACTTAATCATCATATTACGATAACTGCAAACATGTGTTACTAAGTTAGAAGGCAAGAAAAGAGGTTCACCGGTAGAGAATTTTATGGAGCTTTTTTATCATTCCAGTAGAAACAGAAACCTAGTAATATTACTGAAAAAAACTGTGTGAAACTCTAAAATCACTCTAGCATGCTCTACAGATATGTAGATTAATATTCCTCAGCCTGTGGTCCAAAAGACATCCAAAGATAGACCTCAAGACATTTAAAAAGGATGCATTCGTATATTTGTTAGCACAGACAGATTGGAAAGAACTAGCGGTAATTAAATATTTAAGACTTCACCCCAGTTTTTATTTTGTTGCAAATGAAAATTAGCCTTGGAAAACTGCACAAAGTAGTTATGCTTTCCCACACACAGGAGTTAAATAGCTGTTGGATTTAAGGGAAATAAAATCAAGATGTCTTACCAGGAGCTAATTACCTAAATCCAAGAGGAGACAAAGTGTTATCTAGATCACAGTTTCTCTGTAACCAGGATTTAGCAATAGCATCCTATATGCCCCCTCTACCAACTAGATCATACTGTCTGGGTTCTGCTGGCCCAGGATTAAAGAAATATCACATATTTCTTTGGGGCTGAATCTAGTATTGTCCAGTACTCACAGGATGTAGGGTTCCAGAGAAGTTCCTGTTTGTGTACCTATTGCCATCTTAACTTCGGTTGGAAACCTCCCAGAACTGGAATGAATCACACCACACTTTTCAGATTAATGGCAGCAGAACCCAAACCATGGTGCATTTTTTCCTGCATCCAAGCTGTCTGTTCTCTTAAGTTGCTTTCATGGTCCTTGGGGCATCATCAATATTGCCGTTTATCAGATAAACACCAATATCCTAGTAAAGAACAGCCATGTTGTTTCAGACAATTGAACATTTGGAGCAGTATCTAATAAGCTCATGTGCTGTAATGGCACCAGTATCAGAGAGATGCATAATATCCAGTTAGCTAGAGTTGGGTTCCATTCTCAGTTATATCTTCAGTTAAGAGCAGTTACTAGCAGCCTTGAAAGCAACTATCTTAGAGCATACAGGTGCCTCCATCCTCTACCAACTTCCTAAACCATCCACCCTCATTTAAGCACTGTATGAAACTTTGCACTGTAGATGACAAGCCAGAATAAATCCTCAAGGAAGTTATCCAGTACAAAGTTCCCAAGGGCTGCACTCTGACAAATTCAGTCAACCAAGAGCAGAAGCCCAAGTGCCCAGCCTTCACCCTAAGTTCATGGTCCTTAGCTTCTATATTTGAAGGCCATCACACCTCTTTTTTCAAAGGGAAAAGGACCTGGCAGTCTTATATGATAAAGGCTTAAAAAGTTTTGGCCTTCCATTCCTCCTTCAGTTGTGCGCTAGAATGACTTGACTTGACTTGACTTGACTTGACTTGCTAGAATGACCAAAGAGTTCCTTTGGTTTGTCTAGTATAAGCAAGGAGAGAAGCAAGCCTGAAAGACTTAGTTTCATGAATAAATAGAAAGATATTAAAATATAAGGAAAAGGTGACTGTGTGACCAAATAGGGAACCAATTAATATCCTGGGGACAGAAGAAAAGTTGTCAATTACTTATAAGTGCCACTCACTCACGGGAGAAGATTCTTACCTTGTTCTCACAGTACCTCAAAGAATTATCCAAATTGGTGAATAAAAATGCAATGATCTGGAAGCTGACTGTGTGCATAGAATAATTGAGTAGGTTTGTTTTGTGTACACATGGATGAATCAATTAAAATTATTTAACCAAGGTCAAGGGAATCTGTTGATGCCTGAAGTTAATGAATGAGTTGTATTTGGAGGATAGTGTAGGACTTTTCAGCCGTACTAGTGGATTAAAGAAGTGTACTGTAAGTGAATTGTCTGTGTCTAGACAGACTCCATAACTAATTTTTGAAGTGCAAATTGAGGAATGGGGGCAAGTGATATTGATTATCACAGTATATCATAACTGAAGGAGGAATTGTGTCAGAGGTAATTGAATGTCTCAGCCTAATACTTTCATAAACACAGTCTGCAGTTATCCCATGCACCAAAGATATTGTGTCACAGTAACAGGTTTGGTTTGACTTGGGTAGCTTTTCAATTGCAAGGATTTTTTTTTTTTTTTTTTTTTTTGTGAGCTACCTGCTTATTTCAGTAGAGAAAGAAGTGAAAAGAGGTTGGTGGTTAACAGTTCATTATTAAGAAAACAAACATGCAGATTGCACAAAAGGAAATAATTTAACAGCTAAAAATTACATAGTCTGTGGTAAGATAATTATTTTTCCTTACCCATAATATCAAAACCATAAAAAATCATGATTTACTGACATTTATAATTCCTCTTTGCTGATAGCAGTTCACCACAATCTTATTTCATTTAGCTTGACAGAACTTAGAAATGCACAGGAATTTGGACTAAAAGCTATTAAGTAATGAGTATTATCAGCAGGCAAGGCAATAAACATTTTATGAGTGAGTAAACATGAATGTTGAGGTTGAAGCAAAGTATTTGATTTTTTTCTTTGTTAATAAAAGGGGAAAATTTATCTTTGTCAAAATAAATAGTGCAGACTGTTAGAGACTTACTCTTTCATTACTTTCCTTATGTAATTGTATTAACATAAGATATGATTAGGGATGCTTTTCGTGGAATAGACTGCATTTTTAGGTATTCAGAGCTAGCGGCTTTTCAAGGTGAATCACCCACAGCTTGTCTCAGATGGAAATCCGTATCAAGAGACGTCCACCTCAGATGCTTACTTTTGAAAATTTTGGCCTGTGACTTGCTCCAAAAAGTCTGAGACAGTGCAATC